ATCACACATATCTAGATAATGAGCTCTATGATCACACTTTTCTAGATGATGAAGTCTAGATCTACGGCTCTACCACTCTACTGCTCTACGGCTCTACCACTCTACTGCTCTACGTCTCTACTGCTCTACCACTCTACTGCTCTAGGCTCTATGGCTCCACAGCTCTACAGCTCTACAGATACCAAGCATGAAATAAGAATCGTCTATTTCAATTTTTTTCTGTGGTACTTCTTCAAACTGTGCTAGGTACTTGACACGTGCTGAAAAATCTAAACAAAACTTAAGTGTTATGAATGCATAGAAACAAATGTCTTACTATAAATGTTCTAACTTTGCGAGGAAAGTTTTGAATAAAAACAAGGGTCTTTCCAACGTACCAAGTGAAGTTTTGAATAGAAACAAGGGTTGTACTAACATACTAACTTACCAAAGAAATTTTTGAATAGAGACAAGGGGTTTACTAAAGTTCTAACTTAGCAAGGAAAGTTTTGAATAAAAACAAGGGTCTTTCTAACGAACTACTAAAAGTTTTGAATTGAAATATGGGACATACTGTTGTACTAACTTACTAAGGAATGTTTTGAATTGCAATAAGGGTTGTATTGTCGTACTAACTTGCCGAGGAAAGTTTTGAATTGAAACAAGGATCGTACTAACTTACCAAAGAAAGCTTTGAAACAGGGGTTGTACTAACTTTCAACTAAAAGAAGGGTCCTTCGGTATGTTATTAGTACAACCACATATTTCACTCTCTTCCTTCAGAATGTTAGTACATTAATATGACCACATATTTCACCATATTTACCTACAGTTTTTGTAGAGTTAATTATGTAGAAATGTGTGATCATAGAGCTGTAGTGCCGTAGACTTCATTATCTAAAAACATGTGATTGTAAAGCCATACAGTTCATTATCTAGATATATGTGATCTCAGAGCTGTACGCAGAACTGTAGAGTTGTAGAACCATAGAACCTTATAACTGTAGAACAGTAGAGCCATAGAATTGTAGAGCTGTAGAGTTCATTATCTAGAAATATGTGATTGGAGAGCGCAGAGTTCATTATGTCGAATGGATCTTTAGCAAACGAGTTCAGGTGTACGGTTGAATAAAAACTTCTACTACAGACCAAAAAATTTGGTAATCATGGTAACATGCCACCCTTTTTATGTACTTGCAAGTTAGAGAAGAAGTACTAAGTGATTGGTTATAGAGGTGTAGAGGTGTAGTGCACTACGAAAACTTTTATGACTATTCAAGGTTCATAAAATTGGCTGAGTATAGCCTTTGCGCCTTGTTACTTTTGGGGGTGGTTAGTTTCAAGTGACCATTACTTTCGGGAACAAAAAAAGGTATAACATTAGTAGGACTGAGCTTTTACGAAGTAAAAGCCAGAAACTTGTAAAAATACAATTCTTCGATGCATTTTAAATCTATGTTGCTGCCACATGGCATGGGTGGGCTGTTCATGTGTAGACTGTTTTGTCAGTGGTCAATAGGAAAGCTAGTAAGACACTGTTAACTCTTTGTACTTCATGATGCACTGCTGCTATGTTACTCTGCAGTGACGATATCTCAGTGCGCTTGTTGAGTTTTCAGTCAAATTTAAAGAAATGTTCCTTTAAATACACTCCTGTTGAAAATGATGTTAATTTGGATCACTGATTCGTATAGTATGTTCCTGTTACTTGATGAAAATTCTGTGGGGTTGTTTTAACACCGTGCAACATTAACTGATGAAGCACAAATTGACATTTCATTATATGCTTTATGGCATAAGGAATACCTTCCCTTGTTGTAGAATGCCTCAAATCAGGTTTACATAAATAACTTTCACCTGACTATTAATAGGAAAAATAAACATACTTTTGAACCTGGGTCGCCTTATTTTCGGGGAGTTGAGGGTTGGGGGTACCGGTGGGCCCACTGCTTTTGGGTGGTGGGGGTGGAGGATCTCTACTTTTAGGATCTATCAGCTGCCACAGTTTTTTGACATTACTTCTGGGGGCTCGCTACTTTTGCAGGGTAGCTACTTTTGGGGGGTCATTACTTTTGGGCTTTAGGCTTTCTCTCACATGACTCACTAGTGATTGTTGCAGCCATCTGAAAAAAGCTTGGAGGGAAGTGGAGTGACTTTCACTTATGGACCACCATTTGGTGCGGTTATCAGAATTAAGAAGTAGTGAAGCTGTTAATCGTATCTATAACAAAATTCTTGATCATGATTGGTTCACTGCATGCTGATTTGTCATCTAATCAGTGCCTGATCATGTCAGGGCTCGAAATTGCGACCAATACAGTCGCATTTGTGACTTAACTTTACTTATTTGCGACTAGAAAAACGAGAGTAGTCACAAATTTGTGACTAGGTTTTGCCTTGAATGACACAAATTAAAAGGGTTAGCAGTAGTCTCAAAGGAAAAAGAACAGTTGTGGATGAAAGACAATTTATTCCAATAGATATAATAAAACAAACCCACAATTCTTTGATCACCAACTGGATCACCATGTTTCATTATTCTAAGGCACACTAAAGTAAACAACTCTCTATCTCTCTCTTGAAACTTCAAAATGGCTACCTCTGTTTGAAATTGCCCTATAATGCATTGCAAACTCTTGACCATTGAGTACCTCATGTATGTCTATGGATTGTGTCGTTTTTATTCGATTTTTCGACTACAAATTTACATTTAGCGACCTTTTTTTACCACTTAGTCACCAAATGGCGACTTAAGGATTTTGTTAATTTCGAGCCCTGCATGTGGGTGTCCAGTCTCAGGTATCCAGTTTGCACTTTTTGTAATTAGATACCCAGATGATTCACGCATCAATTACGTGCGCTTTAATGGCTTCCTTTGCAATGTTCATACAGTTTTTAAAACTTATGAAAAGTGCTGCAAATGTTTGCACTCAAAAAAAGTTCTCAAAGTAAATTTTTAATTCCAAAATTTGTTTTAGATACATTTAATTAGTAATTGGACCTTGTGTCGTACAATTCAGGGAGTATCTGTGCTCGTAATTTTAAATTGGCCTCACACTTCGCGCTCATTGGATTTTGAAATTACTCGCGTGATTTCTCCTCGAATTGTACTCCACTTCGTCCAGTTACTATTTCTTATACTAGAGAAATGATTTGTTCCCAAGCAGTAATCAATCTAAAAATGTAACTCCATATTGAACTCAATATTTCTTTTAGGAGTAGATCAGCAGATATTTTATAATAAAATTATTGTCAAACTGTGTGAGATTTTGCCACTAAATTATTTTGTTTCTGTGGCACTAGGTAAAAGCTGCTACTGGTGAAAACGTATCTGCTGAGGAATTGGGTGGTGCTGATTTACATTGCAAGTGAGATGTTGTTTACTCTCTTCTGATTCTCATGTACATGTATATAGATTTGGGAACGGATCCAAAACATTAGACATGTAACATTCAAATGTAACTAATTTCTGTGAAAATTATTTGGGGATGTTTAATTTGTTTAAGTTAACTTGCATGGCACACCCACATACATGTAAGTGTGAAGGATGAGGCAGTGTTGTAGTAAAATTTTTGATATATAGTACTTTAAGTAGTAATTATACTTATCTAACTCAAACACTTGGCCATTTGAGAGCAGTATTTCCCTCTTCAGGACTGAAAACATCTGTGCCTACTTGATTTTATTTAAAAAAAGGTTCTGTTTAAAGTGCCCCAATGATCAAATTCTCGATATCCATTTTTAACTTTGAAAATATTTACCGGTAATATATTTTCCAAGTTGTAGTAGAGGGATGATTTCCCTCTATTACTCCTTCACTCCTTCACTCCTTCACTGGGTCACTTCCGGTTAGACATTTGGGATCCTGGGCAGAACTCCCATATGAGAAGGTCGGGGATGCTCAGTTGAAAATTTGAATTGAACTCCTAAAGAAGACTAATGTGGGCATTGCTCAAGCTTCATTAGACCCCGTAAAGATACCACTTAAAATGGAATAGGTTCAATTACTAGCCACTGTTCAAGAAAGGACCCCATGTGCTCTTGTAGGCCCGACTTGCATACTCGAGAGATCAGCGGAAAACAAATGAGAGCGTTTCTTTTATTATTATTTCTTCGAGTGCACCCTAAAGGATACTTTGACAGCTCAGAATGGTGACGTTTTGTCATCAACACCCTATAAGAGACCAGAGTCCTTGACTTGCACCCAAGACGATGAGCATCCCCAACCTTTTCATATAGGAGTCCCCCTCAGGGTTTCAAACATCACACTGTCGAAGGCCGTTTTATAGTTGATGGCACCCTGTCAAGTTAGTTATTCTTTAAATTTCAAATGCAAGAACTTGATATCTTACCACAGAAATGATCTACATTGAATAGATTTTCCCACAAATGTTTTTATATATAGAAGCTAATTATATAAATAGCTCATTTCCCGAGGGTATCCACACAGGTTTAACCATACTCAATTGCCGAAAATTGAGGAGATATTGAAAATCACAAATCTGATGAGCTGTATGAATTTTCGAATTATGATTCAAGCCGTGATTAAAAGTTTTCTACAATCAACAGGCAAGAGAATTGAGGATAATTTGAACGACATGTTTTGCTATTATTTGTACAGTATTGTAAATAAATACTTCAAAGAGGAATAAAGACATGGCAAAATGATTTGAACAAAATAGTTGATAAATAGAAAAAAAAAAAGACCTTACACGAGACTCGGAGTTCAGCAGTCACTAATATCGCCTTGGAAAAGGGAGAAAAAAAGGAGAAACAAATGAAGTTATTACAACACATGGTATTCATGTTTGGTCACCCATCCAAGCAGGAACCCTGCCAAACAGAGCTTAACTTTGTTGAGTGGACGAGACACAGTGCTGTCCTTGTGGTACCATGACTCTACGTTGAATAATTTTTTAATTGTCTCAGACTAGGATCACCAATAACTTCATGAATGTTTTCAGTGGTGTTACATCTCCTCGTGTATTCTCTTACCATTGCATTTTGCCAGAGGGCTTTAACCTACAGATTAAAACCTCAAGTCAGTGGCATCAAAATTTTCACTTCTTACAGACGATCCATTTTCCAAGTTGAGTGGCTCATAGCCACTTTGATTTTACATTTTTGTACACAATAGGTCTTTACTAGATATCTGGTGTAAATGACATCATTTACTCAAAAATACCGCACAGGTTGAAATTATAATGACAATTAGTGTAGAAAATTAGGCAAATATAAGAGCCAATTTTTTTTTGTTATTCTTTATGCAAATTGCTGTCAATAATTTCAACCTGTGCGGTATTTTTGAGTAAATGATGTCATTTACTCAAATTCTCAACCAAGACTTGGAACAAGGAAAATTAATGGAGGCCATAAATTCTTGGAAATTAAGGTCCAAAAAACGTGAATTCTAATGTTTGTAATAGATTGAAATTTGGTGAGATATCTAGGAAAGACCTATTGTGTACGAAAATGTAAAAAAATGGATATTGAGAATTGGATCATATAATAGGGGCACTTTAAAAGGATGTGAAATTATAGGATTGTTCTTTCAAGAACTTTGTGTTTGGCCAACCACAACATCATTCCCCTCCAGTTGTTATAAGCAGTTCAACCTCCCTTCTTGGTGAGCTTGTAGACAATGAGGTTTTTTTTCTAAGATAGAGGTGCCTCTTCTGAGTCCTGGATGTCATGTATGGTGGTAGTGAATAGATGTAATTTGCTCTTCCACCATTAGTATCTCTGCGTATATCTGGTCTACATCAGGGGCATTTTCATTCTTTAATGCCTTAGTTGCCTTCTTAACATCATTGACAGTTGAAGGATTTGTTATTATGTCATGTAATTCTAGTGATGGTGGGGTGATTACCTCCGGCTCAGGATCATGTCCCTTTGTTGATCTTCTTATGTATTTCTGTTTTGAAGTTTCTATCTCTTCTGCAACATTTTCCATGTATGTCTTGTCTGCCCTTGTGCTTTTTTTAACCCACTTATTGAGGATGTTAAAATATGTCTATATCTTCAGCTGTACCTTCAGTCTGACAGATCTGGTGGAAAGGATCTTTCTCTTTTTTTGTTTTCTGCATCTTCGATTTCCTTTCATGCATACATATCATATATCCACTGAGATCTGTTTTTCTTCTTTGTCCTTGGACCTAGTACTTTCGTTCCTCCCTTCTCAACAGTTTGTTTCTTCGATACACAGTTTCCTGATCTCTGTTTGATAAGGTTTTGATATCTTTGGGCCTTTAAGCTTACCTACAGAAAACTATATGGTAAATGCAAGTTTAATTGCATCAAGTACTGATTGCCAGATTCATGATCAGTTTAATTAATGTTGCCTTTGCTTCTTCTTGGAGAGACTTGATGATTGACCAGAGAGTTTTCTTGAAGTCCAGTGTTTGACATCATGATTGCAGTAGCTGTTGCTGTCATTGTCTCTGTAGCAGCTGAGCCACAGTAGGCACCACTGCCACTGCTAATTGTTAGCTATGTGTGTGCAGCTTGACCAATTTAGCATTATCTCATTAAAGTTTTGGGATATACTTCTCAGAACTACAAGATTTCCTTCATCAAAATACTTCCTATCGTAAATGTGAGCTGAACATGACTGAAAAAACAAGAAAAGTGCCTTATGCTTCGTGTTGTTCGCTTTCAGATGGCTTATTTGTCCTCACCAGGACAGTGCAGTGGCCACATGGCACCCCAGCAGGGGAGGCTTAATACAGTACAGAAAATGGAGAGGGCAATGGACCTTTTAAGGAAAAAAAATTTTCTTGGATCTTCCATATCTTAAGTTAGCTGTACACCTTGTTCTGCACAAATCTTCGTTTGTAAAATTAATGACAACTGCTAGGACTGCTGCATATAGATTATGAGGGTAACAATAATCATCCTTATGATGTACACCGTTGCCTGCATGTATGATGGAAGAGCAGATCAGAAGAGAACACATCTAATGAAGATTGTGCATCAAGTTCTCTCTATTTAGTTGATATCCAGGCAATGTACTTGTGTTAAAATAATTGTAATTATGGCATCCGGTAAAGTCATTTGATGTTATAATTATTACCTTTCACATGTAATGAACAATAAACATTTATAACTACTCAGTGTAGCTGCTGTTTTAAGTATTAACTGATCTAAAATAAAGAAAATAATGATGAAAGATAGAGACAGCAATGCCACCTTCACTGATTCCTTGGTTTGTTTATGAAACTTAACTGAAACATTTTCTGTCAATAAAACTTCAAAACGATTAGTGGCAAATGTAAAGTCACTTTCTTTTTCAGCACATCTAAGAACTGGCTGAGAGATTCCTTTTTCTCATGCTTCATATCCCTGGGCAAACTAAGTTTTCCTCTTCTACCTTTTTGTTCTTCTGCAGAAAGGAAATCTTCTCAATCTTTAGCAGGAGATTAAAATCTTACTTTTCCTCTCTTTGCACTTTACTGTCTTTGCTCACTTTGTTTTGCTGCCTGTTTCATTCTCTTTCATGTCCCACGAGAAACATGGAAAGTACAATTTTATTTTGGGTTCCCCTTTGGGCTGTCTCCAATAGCCTCCGAATCTTAATAAACCTTCCATTTTTGAATACTCACTCGCTTGTCCACTCGTTCTACACTTTTTTTGCACTGCATGTACAGCCCTCAGTCAACCAGAATTGAGTAATATTTTCAAGTGTATTATTGATGCAGGAATAAGCTCAGTGCATACTGTGCGTGGCCAAATCATTGTTTCACTACCTCATGGATACTTTTGACTTTCAATTATTTTTGTTTTGTAGAACATCAGGTGTGACAGATTACTATGCTGTTGATGATTTTCATGCCCTTCATCAAGCCAGGCAATGTGTCAACAACCTGAACTTCAAGAAGACCTTACCAGTAAGTTCTCTTTACTCTACCATTACTACAAAGCGGGGGAGGTCAAGGGATTCAATGACTGTTTTTGTACTGTAATTCAGCTAAATTAATGGTCATTTTTGTGGCCATGTTACTAGGAGTGGGTGCAGCTGCTGTTGTGACATCTGCTCAGGAAGGTTGGATTATTTGCATACACTTGTTGTGTCCAAGTGCAATAGACATATAAGTATCTAGAAATACCTTAGCTTCCAGACACATTATTGGCTATTGGAACAAAATTCCAGCCACGTTAACATTGCAGCTGCCCAGAGTCAACATTTATACCTCTTTCGATTTTGATAAAAGTCATGCTGGATTCCTTTGAATTGCATGATCTGAAAATATACCATAGCATGCAGACCACTCAGGGAACAAGCCCTTCTTGCCAAAACTAGGTTGATTCACAATGCAAGTGAATATATGAAAGATCATATATTTGAACTGTGCAGAAAGATATGAAGACATGATTGATCATCGCAGTTATACACATAACTTAAGCAGTTGTGAAATTAAAGCCTGAAAAAATTCAGGCCCGAACGGGATTCCAACCCGTGACCTCTGCGATACCAGTGCAGTGCTCTACCAACTGAGTTATCAAGCCAACTGGGAGCTGATCATGAATATATGAAAGATCATATATTTGAACTGTGGAGAAAGATATGAAGACATGATTGATCATCGCAGTTATATACACAACTTAAGCAGTTGTGATCAGCTCCCAGTTGACTTTATAGGTCAGTTGGTAGAGCCACAGGCGGCCCAGACGTTGTATGCGATTAATACGTGACATTATGCTGTTGGCAATTGCGTTACAATTTTAGCTGTTTATAAGACAATGTATGAGAATGCCTCGAAAATTACTCTAAATGCTACGTGTAGAAAATAATTTGAATAAAATGGCTTACCTTATGTTTGCATTGCGTTATTTTGATGTCTCTGGGTTCCTGGA